TAAAAAATAACTACCCATTTAAATTTCGTGGGAGTGGTTTCAAGTTTGAGTTTTTAAATTATTTTAAAATAAAAAGCAAAAAAAAAAGTTACCTATAAAAAAACGAAAAAAGAGAAGAAAAACTACCCATTCAAATTGGGAAGCAGTTTCAAGTTGGAGTTTTAAAATAAAAAACGAAATTAAAAAAAATAATGAATTACCAATTCAAATTGGAGTTTTAAAATTATTTTGAAATAAAAAACGAAAAATCTATTTATATATATAATATAACATAATATAATATATGTATAATATATAATATATAATATATATAATAGGAGAGTCAAAGAAATGTATTTATATATATATATATATATATATATATATATATATATATACATATAATAGGAGAGGCAAAGAAATGTTATAATGACAAGCGTCATAATTTCTATTAAAAATATAATTATACTAAATATTGAATAATATAATAAATATAAATACATAACGAAAAATTTATTTGATGACTATATATGTCCCTTTAATTTAATGGAGATTTTATTTATTAAAATTTAGACAATATCTATTCTATATAGAAGAGGATAATCAAATAATTGTGATAATTTCAAATGTAACATCAAAAAATTAATAAATTGACAAATATTTTTTTAATATTGACCGCGCATCGCGCGGGTACGACTACTAGTTTAATTTAAGGTTTCCCGATTGGAGATCCATGGATCACATACGATATCTCCCCCTCGCCTTTTGCCTTCGAAAGTGTTCTTCCTTCTCAATGTGACTATTTTGTGCTATTTGGATGGTTGTTACCTATTGTATTGTATCGTATTATTACTTTAAATACAATATTTGTTATGATTGTTACTTGAATTTTATTGTATCGTATCGTTAAATACATCGTTACGTAACGATCAAAAGTGTCACTTTATGGAACGATTGATTTGGTGTGGTCGCGTCGTTACCTTCTTTTTTGGGAAAATGCATCTGTCCTATACCTGGATTCCCAACTCAACACTTTACCTTTGCGGGGTTTTTGTTACCCCCCCTAAACTATTATAAAGTGTAATAAACACACCCTTAATTGATGACGAGGCAAGGAGAGTGTGTTCACTCTCTTCAAAGCATGTGAGAGGCAAAATTTAAGTTTAAAACTGAGTAGTTTATACAAGTGACTACTTTTAATTGAAAATTATATCATTACTTTAGACTTAATTAATTATTGCTATAACTTAGACTAATACATTCTTTTTGTTCTTTTTGTAAATCCAGTCCCTTTTTTCTTTTTCACCGACAACGAATCCGACTCGCCGGAGCCATCTCCACCAGCATCGACAATAAAATTCGCCGTTTTTCTGCAACTTTTTTTACATGAAGAAATCACCCTCCCTCGTTGCGAGCTTCCAAATAGTATATATGATTCACCGGCGTCACACCTCCGTCGATTCCTTCGGCAACCGGAGAACCGTAAAACAGATTATTCAAGAACAAAATCTACCCACACCATTGCTAAATAAATTACTAGATCCACCAAGGCTGAGATCCAACGATGATGAGTCTAACATCACCGCCGGCAGCGAGTTTTCCACCATTACCGGCGACGACGCCTCAACAATACTGCTCTGGCTCGTACTACGTTTCCATTTACAAATTCACATTCTCCGGCTCTAAAATCGCAAAAATAATTTTACATTCGCCGGCGACCATGTATATGAAACTAGAATAAAATAAGAAAAAACAGAAGAAGAAATAAAAGAAAAAAGAAAAAGAATTATTAGCTGGCAGTGCGTGCACAACACTCTCCATCAGGAATCTGGTTGTCCAATTTTAAGGGTGTGTTTATTACACTTTATAATAGTTTAGGGGGGTAATAAAAATCCCGCAAAGGTAAAGTGTGTAGTTGGAAATCCGGGTATAGGAGAGGGGGTACTTATGCATTTTCACTCCTTTTTTTTTCTCATATTGTCCTTCCTTATTATTAAATAATCCTATTTTATCTTTTATCCTATCTTTATTTATCATTTTGGGGTCAAAATCGATTCGCATGTCTATAAACCACGCAGTAAATTCAATTGCATCGTATTCTTCTTCACACGGTAGTCAGATGTGGATCCAGGATTTATACTCTATAGGTTCAACTTTTAAGCTTTTTAGCATTGAATCCACATGTTTTTAAAATGAGACTTTTTCCTTCTTATACCATATATAAAACATTATTACCAAAAATGTGCATAGTTTCATATTTACCCTCCATGTTCACAGTTTTCCTACAATTATTATACCATTCATTAAATACTAATTATTAGGATCTCTTCAATTTAAAATCAAATTACATAGACTCTTTTTTGCAAAAACTCTGTTCTTCGATATTTTTCCTTAAGCCAAAAATCAAAAAAAGACAAAATCGTCAACAAAGCTCAGTTCGTCGACATTCTCTCTACATCTCTCTCTATTTCTCAATCGCAAATTTCAGTAATACAAAGCAAATGAAAAGAGAGCAGCAAATCCACCATTGACAGCCATTAAAAAGCTTGAAAGCTTTGAATTCAAATTTGGATTTTCAAAATTCATTATTTGATTGGATTGGCTGTTGTTGAAAATAATTGGGAATATGGTTTGGAGTTCATATCTCAATTTTGAGGGGTTCTGGTGAAGATTAGACTTGGTTTTGACTGAATTTCAGATTGAAACTCGAAGAAGAAGAAGAAGAAGAAGAAGAAGAAGAAGAAGAAGAAGAAGAAGAAGAAGAAGAAGACATATTGCAGAAATTGTAGATAAATTGTATTCTGATTGTAGATGCTTTATTTTTTGTTTTCACAAATAAAAAACGGCTAAAACTTCTACAAATCTTCTGAAAAAACGCAATTATGTCAAAAATCCCAATTATGCTACCACTGAATGGGAATTGGGATATAAAATTTCAATGTACCCAGTTTGTAGATATTTTATAGATAAATTATAGATTATTTGTATTCTAATTGTAGATGCTTTGTTTTCTGTTTTCACAAATCAAAAACGACTAAAACTTCTATAAATCTTCTGCAAAAAACGCAATTATGTCGAAAATCCCAATTAAACTACAATCGAATGGGAATTGGGATATTAAAATTCAATATACCCAGTTTGTAGATATTTTGTAGATGAATTGTAGATTATTTGTATTCTGACTGTAGATGCATTGTTTTCTGTTTTCACAACCCAATTCCAACACCACTACCCAAATACCCATTACCCTTTACCCTACCTTCTACATATAAAAACACAATTAGGAAACCTAAAAAAAATCAGATCCATCAAATCCTAAATACCTTACCCCTAGAAATGGCTCCATCGGCTGCCTTCCAAAAAGTCGAAAGCAGAAAAAATGCTCCCCAAAAAGAATCAGAAAAAACAGTGCAACGATGGAACCCATTTCTTCTTCTTTGGATTTTTCTCAAAAAAAAGACAAAGAGAAAGAACTATTTCTTTAATTCATACCAAGTATATTTGTTATCACTATCATGCTAATATTCATGCTTGTTTTAGATTATAAATTATTGTTAATATTATTATTATATTTCATATTTATTATTGAACGGAAATAGTAGTATAAATACGAAAAAGTTTAATTAGTCATTTGATCATCTGCAACTTGCAATTGCAATTGACGTCGATGTCTCCTTTGTAAGGCCAAGTGGCAAAAGCACTGTTTGACAGCAGCTATGTTTCACTATAAGGAGCATTCTCTTAACAAAGGGGACACTTTATTGGATTAAAATATGCTTATAATTCAGCCCCCTACTCTTAAATTATATAGTATCAAAATACTAAAAACAAAAAGCACAATTGAAATGATGGAATTGATACGAATTTGACAGTTTTAAGAACGAAACTAATCTTTATTCAGATTTTATTATTATCGAAAAGAAAAGACACTCTTTAATCATTAATTGTACCTTTAAAATACGCTATGGTATAGAATTGGTAATTTGGTATACTAAATGTATATATCAAACCTTAAACATTGAGGGTAATAAGGTTTTCTATATGGTATATGAATGGTATAATAATTGTAGGAAAACTGTGAACATGGAGGGTAAATATGAAACTATGCACATTTTTTATAATAAGGTTTCATATATGGTATAGGAAGGAAAAAGTCTCTAAATTTTATATATAAATTGCTCTTTCTGTTTTAGGGCCCATTTGGCCATAAAAAAGATTTATTTTTTTCAAAAAAATATTTATTTTTTTCAAAAAAATATTTATTTTTTTTCCGAAATCAGTGTTTGGCTATGAAATTTTCGATTTCGCACTTGAAGAAAAATTTTGGAATTTTTCGAAAATTTAAAAAACTCTAAAAAGATATTTTTCAAAATTTTCACTTCAGATCACTCATAAAATTCAAAAACAGCCCAATATTATATTCATGTCCAAACACAACTCTATTTTTCACATATCATTTTCACTTGAATTTTCTTTCCCACTTTTTTTCAGAAATTTTACATTTCTTATGTCCAAACGGCCACTTAATTTCTGTTTTTAAATTGAGAGATAGGGGAGAATGAGAGTCCTGGAGCAACAATTAAATTGTCTCAAGGGTTCCAGTCGTGGAATCAGCCACTGACGCTTAAATTAGGTTAAGTTGCCTACATTACACCCCTTCCTGCGTGAACTCGGAATGCTTTGTACACCAAATTGCCCCTTTTTTTTTTAAATTGAAAAATAGGAGCTTGTGGCAATTCGTCCGTTTATCATACTGAGAGATTCTGCATTCTTCTTTGTGCAGAAACTTCCTATTGCATCACACAAATAAGAGAGAAACAGAGACATATGGCTTATGCTGCTATTACATCTCTTATTACAACCTTAGAAACTGCAGAGACAAACACTAGCTCGCCATTTACTCTTTTTTACCTGCAAGAAAAGTTCATGGAAAAGTTAAAATCCTTTAGAGCTATTCTGGAGAAACCGTGCAATATAACAGGCGATTTAGAGGTATTGACAATGATGGAGGCTGAAATTATAGAGCTACTGAACACCACAGAAGATATGGTTATTTTGAAAACAAGAAGAGCTACTACGGCAAAAACCAAGATTAAACGAATAGTAGCATTTTGGAAACTTTATTACCTCTTGAAACTAGCACGAAGTCGCATTGACTCCAAGATGAACAGATGGTTGGCAATGCAGAACAGGTACACCAACAGCAAAGATCTGAGAGCACAAAATTTGACTGTCGCCAATACATCTCAACATGACTTTGAGTCCGAGAATGTGATGGTCGGCCATGAAAATGCATTCGAGATCATGCAGGATCAACTTGCTAGAGGAGCAACTGAGCTACAAGTTATCTCAATTGTGGGGATGGGGGGCATCGGCAAGTCAACTTTGGCCATCAAATTATACAATGATCCATTCATTATGTCTCATTTTGACATTCGTGCAAAAGTTATTGTTTCGCAAGAGTATTGCAAGAGAAATGTACTCTTACGCCTTCTTTCTTCTATAAGTGGAAGTGGAAGTGGAAGTATTGATGAGGAGCAAGATGATGGGCAACTAGCAGATCGATTGCAAAAGCATCTGAAAGGCAAGAGGTACTTGATAGTCATTGACGACATATGGGCTAAAGAAGCTTGGGATGATATAAAACAATGCTTTCCGGACTGTAACTATGGAAGCCGAATACTCCTGACTACTCGAAATATGAAAGTGGCTGAATATGCTAGCTCAGGTAAGCCTCCTTATCAAATGCGTCTCTTGAATTTTAATGAAAGTTGGAATTTACTGCACAAAAAACTTGTGAGATTATGGGCAGCAGAGGGCTTTTTGAAGGTAGAATGGAAGGAATGGGAAACAAAAATAGAAGAAGTGGCAGAACAATATATAAAAGATCTTGTAGATAGAGGTTTAATTTTCATCCACTATTTGAGTTTTGATAGAAAAATCAAAGCTTGTGGAATGCATGATTTGATCCGTGAACTCTGCTTGAGAGAAGCTCATAAAATAAATTTTGTGAATGTTACCGTTGAAGATCAAAAGCCATGTGAACACTCTAGGAGGTTTTTCACAAAGCGTCGGATATGTATCCAATCAGAAGAATCCTCTTTTGTTTCCAATCGGTTGTCCAAGGTTCGTCAAAATAAGGCCCGTTCTATTCTCCTTTTTATTCGAAATCCCTCAAGCTCAAGAATAGGCCTCCATAATCTTTATAACTTATATCTGCTCGAGGAATTGAAATTTGACGGGATGCCTCATTCGACACTTCCTCCTCCTGAAGCTTTTCCGAAGAACCTTAAGAAGTTATCTTTTAGCAAAACTCGTGTAAATTTTGAGGATTCTTAGTAAGTTGCCCAAACTCGAGGCCCTCAAACTAAAATTTGGTTCCTCCAATATTGGTATGGAATGGGAAGTAACCGAGGAAGGGTTTCCGCAGTTGAAGTTCTTGCTATTGAGTCGCTTGGGCATTAGATACTGGAGAGCCAGTAGTGATCACTTTCCACGCCTTGAACGACTATATCTTGTTGAATGTGCGAATATGATTTCGATCCCTGTAGATTTTGCAGAAATAACCACACTTCAGCTAATTGATATACGCATGTGTAGGGAGTCAGTTGTGAATTCTGCTAAGAAGATTCAACGAGAAATTGAAGACAACTATGGAGGTTCTATTGAGGTCTGTTTTCATTACGTCCTTTAGGTCGTATTTTTGGTTGAATTACTTTTATAGTTATTACTTGTATTCATGTTTCCAACTTATGAGATAATTAATATCAAATGATATACTTTTTGAGTTTTGAGATACTTAGTTGACTTGTATATATTCATCACACAATTTATTTTCCTTCCTCAATAGCTAGCCTTCAGTATCTGCAAACTTTTGTACTTTAAGTTTTCGACACCTTTATGGCGCTGGCATTTTCCTTTCATATTACCATATGAAATTCTGAAGATGTCTCAATTGCGGCATCTCTGTTTGGACTGGAATTACTTTCGTCATCATTTGCTTGGCGAGAGGAGTTTGTTTCTGAGAAATTTTCAGTCTCCCTCTGGATGGAATCCATGTACGCAATTAATGGTTGTTGGTACATGGATTCTATCCCACAAGATTTGTAGATATGACGATGCTCGAGCTAATTGTTATAAGCAACTGTCCAAAATCTGTTAGTGAAAATTCCGCCAAGCAGATTCAATAGGATATTGGAGAAAACTATGCAAAATCTGTTGGTCAGTTCCGTATCAGTTAGGCTTGCAAGGCATCTTACATATTTGTAGGAAAAAAAATATGGGAGGAAGATGACTCATGATGAGTTCTTCGTGGAGACTCACATCCGGAAGAACAAGGTACCGACAGATCCAAGTAGATGGGTCGAGGACCGGGCGTAGACTGCATATGTAAGTTTCATAACTACATGTTTATAATATTATTTACTCTCTCCGTTTCATATTGTTTGAGATAGTTTGACTCGGCACGGAGTTTAAGAAAAAAGAAGACTTTTGAAAGTTGTGGTCTTAAAAGCTTAAGGGGTAAAAAATTTGTGGGGCCATGCCATTTGTGTGGCTATAAAAGCTTCTCATTAAGGGCAAAAAGGGTAAAATGAAGAGTTTAAAGTTGAATTATTTCCAAATTTAGAAATGTGTCATTTATTTTGGAACAGACTAAAAAGGAAAATACCTCATTTAATATGAAACAGAGGGAGTAGTTAATAATTTTCTACCTTATAAATAAAGAGTACACTCAGAGCTTGCCACCAAATGAGCAAGGCGAGCGACCACCCCTTTTAGACGAAGAAGCGCAGAGGATATGGTTGGATGTTGTCGGTGGTCCTAAAAAGGGGATAGCATACGGCCTTCCTGAGAGATCATTTCGGCTCTACAGGGCTGGATTGCAAGGTATAGGGACTTCCGCCCAATGCAAGGTAATTGATAGGTCGACTATCTACTCTATGAAACAGAAGATCGCAAAGCTGACAACAGAGTTTGAAGAGACAAAGGCTAGAGAATAAAAAAGAGATGAACAATTTGGTACCCTTCAAGTTCGGCTAGAAAAGAGGGACGGACAATTTAATCTCCTTCAAGGTCAGCTGGCCAATCTTTTTGCTAGTGGTGCTTTCCCCATTCCCCGGTCTCCTGCGCCTTCCCCATGTGCTAATCCTTCTCATCGTGATCCTTCGAGCCATGTCGGCGATGAAGGGTCTAGTAGTGAAGATGGAGATGATGCAATATAAAACACTTATTTAATGGTGTGTATTGCTAAACAAAGTATTGAACTTGTCAATATTTAGTTGGGACTAGTTTTGAATGATGATTGTATTGTCGATATTATTTTGTTATTGAACATTTATATAGTTGTTGTTGTGGTTGGGCGATGTTGTTATTAGCATTGTTGTTGTGGTTGTTATTAGCGTTGTTGGTTAATTATTGTTGTTGTTGTTATATAGTTGTTGTTGTTAGTTAATGTAATGCAGCCATTATAGGATGGATAATGGTTGTAATTGGCAGGTGGTGTAGCTTAAAAGCAGGCATTTTTCGCCCAGTTTTTACCCAGGAAACCGACCGAAATCGGTCGGAAATTATGAATTTAAATTTATTTATTTAAATAAATTAATAATTTATTACAATTTAAGAATAATTATATATTTAAATAAAATTATTATTTATTTAAAATACCGACCGATTTCGATCAGTATTTGAAAATTAAATAAATTTTATTATTATTATTACCGACCGATTTCGGTCGGAAATTTCCGACCGATTTTGGTTGCAACACGTTAGCGACCATCATTTTTTCGACTAATTAAAAGCGGTCGGAAATCGGTCGATTTTTTACAATTTCCGACCAATTTCGGTCGGTTTTCTTGGACGGATTTAAGCAGTTGTTTAGCAGTGATGGTTCACCATTCCTATCCACTTCCTTATAGTGGAATCAATGCGTCCTACTGCTCGTTTCATCTTGAAACGAAGTTTCCAAATTGCTATTCTTCGTGAAATTGGACTTTTTTCAACGAGAACTTTTTTTGATTCCGAGCTAACTATATCTCTTGTCATGTATGCTAGCGCTTCGATTTTAGCTTCCAAACTTGTCAATACCTCAAGATCATCGTCTATTACTTTCAACGGTTTCTCCACAATAGCTCTCATGGATTCAAGCTTTTTATAGAACTTTTGCAGCTATAATGTTGCATACCCCACTAGGTTTAGATCTAATTTTCCAGGCCACGTTAAATATTACTCCTTTTTCTCAATTTATTTGATACTATTTTCTTATTAGTCTGTTTAAAAAAAGAATTCCTTAGATTTTTGTATTTATTTATTAAGAAGCATTTATAGCCACACTAATGCTATGATTTATTTAATACGACAAATCTCAAAAGTCATTATTTCTTTATTAAAATTTATGTCAAGTCAAACTATGACAAATAAATTGAATCAGAGGGAATAGCACTAGTATATGTAATTCTTCTTATATGCCTTTTTTCTTGGGGAAAGCAAGAATTCGAGCATCGAGCTCCGAATTGCCTAAAATTTTGCGGGCGCATAAGAAACGACCTAATGAATAATAGTGATTGCTTTACCATGAACATTCCTCATTTTTTGTGTTTTAGGGCCATATATAACACAGGAATTCAAGTCGATATTTTTTTTTTGTACTAATATCCACGTCCTATTCATGAATTCGGGCTGGCGGGCTCTGAATCGCCTAACACTTTTTTGGGCCCATCATAAACGGCTTAATGAACAATAATCATTGCTTTCCATGGTTGTTCCTCATTTTTCGGCGTTTTAGCCATAAAACAGGAATGCATGACAATTTTCAACTTTTCGTGCGCTAATATCCATGCCATCTTCATGAATTCGTTCGACGGGCTCTGAATCGCCTACATTTTGTGGCCCATCAGAGGCGACCTAATAAATAATTATCATTGTCTCGCCATGGCCGTTCCTCGTTTTTAGAGTTTTAGGACCATAAAACAGAATGCAAGACAATTTTTAATTTTCTTATGCTAATCTCCACGCCATCTTCATGAATTTGGGAGATGGGCTCTAAATCGCATAAAACCCATCAGAAATGACATAATGAACAATAGCGATTGCTTCGCCATGACCATTTCTTATTTTTTGATATTTTGGGCCATGATCACGCCCAACTATGCCTTATAAAAAGGACAATGCGGTCGTTGCAAATATAATCCGGTTTACAAGTCCGGAGTCGAATCCCACAGAGCACTAAGGTTTAGCTACAGCTGTTCACTATCACCAAGAAGACAAGCTTGAACAATTCCTAACTTATAGATATTAAGATTCTTGTGTTTAACTACTTAACTAACAAATTAAAATAGTAAATTAAAAACTAAATATACTAAGGGTTAGAGAAAAGATTAAGGAGGTCTAGAGTTATGATTTCCCCAATTGTCGGAATCCTTCCCGCTATGTCTTCTATAATTTCGCCTAAGTATTCTCTACCGATCATGAGCGCTCTTATTACCGTAAATCTCTCCCGAGTAATTACGACAATTTACTAGACACACTCTCCCGAGCTACGCTAGCTGACTTTTAATACAGCTCACTTCAGATCGCACTCAAGGCTTCGTTATCCCTAATCCCGCCTTTAAACCCTCAGTTATTGATCCCTCATATACTTTGGGAGTGGTGTTGTTTAACAATTACCAAAATATGCACTCTCTCCCGAGTTATGCATACTAAATAGGCACAGCTAATTAAGAGCTCTTCAACCAACCACAATATAAACGTAGTTGAACAAATAGAGAAAAGCTATGACTCAGTTATATAAAAACATAACAAGAATTTATCCTACAAAAGGTTCTATCAAACTCTAGATAACAAATTAGCTATTCATAATAGTATGTAAAACTACGATACTAAAAGTCATAACCAACAATGAAAAATAGGAAGAGGAAGGAAAAACTCGTAGAAGAATTCTCCGCCTTGCTCTCAATGTGTTCTTGCCTCCAAGGGTGTTGTCTAACCCTAAAGTAGTGTCTCTCCGCCTCCTTAGGTCTAATTTGTGTCCAAAATATGTCCCCCTCTTGCTCTTGGCCGGCCTCCTTTGTTTAATATAGGGTTTAGGACTTAAAATCCCATGTTTTGCACTTTAGTCCCTGAAATTTTCGCTTCCTGCCGCGGTTTTGACGCGGTCGCGGTGGAACCGCGGCCGAACATGCCCTCTGATTCTTCAGTTGTCCGCGACCATCTTCTACCGCGGTTCTGTCGCGGTCGCGGCAAAACCTCGGATTTTCACCCTGTTCCGTTTGGAATTTGGAAAAATGTAAAATATGAAAGTTGTAGCCCTTTGAATTATCTTTCCAACCATATATTGTGGAGCCCAAATGGAGTTCTGAGCAAAGAGTTATGTCTATTTTACTAGACAGTGCGCAATATGCCTCCTCAAGTCTTCGTTCGTACTTAATTATCAAATTTGACCCCCGAACACGATCCCGGATTAATTCCTTGAGCTTTTACTCAGA